GTACTGACTCACTATCAATTGTGAATCAGAACAGGCGTTTATCTTTCTTGCCCCTTCCGCCTTACACATGCGGATTCCGGCTAGTAAGGCTTCATATTCTGCCTCATTGTTTGAGGCCTGAAAATTGAAACGTAGAGCATACTCGTACCTGTCGCCCTCTGGCGACTGACATATGACGCCTTCTCCACAACCATTTGAAGTAGAGCTCCCGTCCACATATACCTTCCAGACTTGGTCTGGAACTTGAGAATCAGGGGGACGAGTCATTTCAACAATAAAATCAGCAAAGGCTTGCCCCTTCACTGCTTTCCTAGGGTCGAATGTGACTTCGAGGCTCTGAATTTCTATGGCCCATTTGATCATCCGGCCTGACGACTCCATGGTGGTCAGTGGCCGCTTGATAGGTTGATCTGTGTACACGACGACTGCATGTGCCAAAAAGTAGGGCTTCAATTTTTTAACAGCCATGAAGAGTGCGAGACCAAATTTCTCCACTAAGGGATACCTCAACTCGACATTTTTCAGTACATGACTGACAAAGTAGACCGGGAACTGGAAGCCGTCTCTTTCAGCAAGAAGGACAACACTTAAAGCATGATCTGAGACGGCCAGATACATGTAAAGTACTTCTTTGGGCAAAGGACTGACCAGCCTCGACAAGGAATGCAAATGAACTTTTAACTTTTGGAAGGCCGCCTCAGCATCCGGCCCCCATTCAAACCTTGCCTTTTTCTTAATGGCCTGGAAGAAGTATAAGCATTTGTCACCTGATCGACTTAGAAATCTTCCCAAGGCCGCCAGACAACCTGTTAGCTTCTGAACCTCTCGGACGGTACGAGGCGACTGCATGTCGATGACCGCCTGCACCTTCTCAGGGTTTGCCTCTATTCCTCTCTGATTGATAAGAAATCCGAGAAATTCCCCAAACTCAACTTCGAATACACATTTCTTGGGATTGAGCATGACATGGTTCTGCCTGAGTGTGGAAAAAGTTTCTCGGAGGTCCGACAGATGATCTATCTGAAGCTTAGACTTAACAATCATATCATCAATGTATGCCTCGACGTTCCTCCCAATCTGATCAAAGATACAGTATTTATCATTCGCTGGAAGGTGGCCGGGGCATTCTTCAGACCAAACGGCATGACCGTGTAACAGTATAACCCTTGATCAGTGACAAAGGTCGTCTTCTCTTGATCTTTCTTCCATAAAGGAATTTGATGGAAACCAGAGTAGGCGTCCATAAAGCTCATCAAAGCATGAGCGGCTGTTGAGTCGACCAGATTATCAATTTTAGGCAGAGGGTAACTGTCTTTTGGGCACGCCTTGTTTAGGTCCGTGTAGTCCACACACATTCGCCAGGTACCATTCGGCTTTTTAACAAGAACTACATTCGCAACCTAGTCTGGGAAGTAGCATTGCTAAATGAACCCTGCATCAAGTAGTTTCTTAACTTCGACGGCTGCCGCCTGACTTCTTTCTTCGCCATGGTTCCGCTTCTTCTGCCTTACCGGCTTCTTTTTCGGATCCACGGCCAATTTATGTACCGCCAGGTCAGGGCTGATGCCTGGCATTTCATGGACTTCGAATGCAAAGATGTCTTTGTATTCATTCAAAAGTTGATGAAAGTCATCACCCTAAACTCTCAGAGCAGTCGTCCCAACCTTGACTATTCGGTCAGGGCGCGAGTCGTCTAGGATCAGGTCCGTATGCTGACCAGCCGGCTGAGGGTGGAATTCATCTGACCACTCCTCTGCCAAGGATTGCTATTTTCTCTTTTTTCTTGTGGCCCCCATCTGGGCAGCCTTTCTTTTATTGCCGCCTGCTTCTTGAACAGGCGCACTCTCCTTGACATTGTCAAGGTCTGTTTTTCCACCTCTTGACCCAGCGGCCATGACAGTGGGCTTAATATCCGAGAGATAGCACTCTCGGGCCATCTTCTGATCTCCCCTTAGGGAGCCGACTGTTCCATCATCCCTCTCAAATTTGAGCAACATAAGAGACGGGATTATAACAGCCTTGGAATTATTCAGGGTTGGTCGTCCCAGAATCGTGTTGTAGGCCGAGAGTTCCTCAACTACCAGGAACCGGACCACCATGTGGCGACCTTCTCCTTTTTCACCCAGGCGGATGGGTAAATCCACTCGTCCCACTGGGTGGACGACTCCTCCTCCAAACCCTACTAGAGGGTGGGATACCGGATGTATGCAATCAGTCTGATACTTGAGCTTAGACAGACATTTGCTACTGATAAGATCTGAGGAGCTTCTGGTATCTATGAGGATTCGGCCAACTCTCTGGTTGGCCACTTTGCATTCAATAATAATAGGGTCGTCATGCGGCCCCCTTACCCCTCCTAGATCTTCTTCAGTGATGACAATTTCAGGAAATGAATATTTGGAGGGCCGTTCTTGGTGAACGGAATTGACGTCTAGTCGCCTGATATTGTTCTTATTTCCCCTGATAGTGGGGCCGCCTCCCGAGAAGCCGCCTGCAATGGTGTAGACGACTGCATCATCTGTATCAGAAATGTCGGCCTGTTGATTCTTTTTGGCCGACTGCTTTTTCAAGGAAGTGTACCCCTTAGATTTCTTGACATAAGAGTCAAGATCGCCTTGTTCAGCCAAGCGGTCCAGATACCGCATGAGACTGATGCATTCCTTGGTTTGATGACCAACATCTTCATGATAATCACAGAATTTTTCTTGGTTCCGATTGCTCGCAGAACCCTTCATGGGGGCTGGCTTCTCAATTAAGATCCGCCCCTTGATTTCTTTTAGGATAGCTTGGCTATCCCTGTTAAACACATACTTTGGGGAGTATGGTTTGAATTCTTTCTTCTTCTTCTGGGCCGGCTGTTTAGAGGAATTGGCCGCCCAGACCTCTTTTCTCTTTTTCTCATCTTTGTTGGACGACTGTTTCTGTCGTCCTTCTTTCTTGTCGAACCTCTTTCCGTCTGACTGCTTTCCAGTACTACAAAGATCAGTCGCCTGTATATAGGCTTCTGCTTCAATCAAGGCTTCTTGAAGAGTCGCCACCCTCTTTCGAACCAAATCAAATTTGAAGGTCGACCCGTCCTTGAGACCTCTAAAAAAGTCAGTATAAGCTACCTCATCTAGTAGCCCTTGAATCTGTATTCTCATCAGGTTAAACCGCCTGATGTAAGAACGAAGCCCCTCCTTCTCGCCCTGCTGAATCGTCCCTAAATCAAGGGTCGTCTTCTTTGCAGGTATGTTCATGGCAAAGTTGGAGGTGAATAAGTAAGCAAGCGTCCTGAAGTTGTTCACACAACTAGTCGGTAGGTTGCCGAACCATTGTTGTGCGATTCCTTTAAGAGTCGCTGGGAAACACTTGCACCAAGTGGGATCATCCAACCCTTGAAGGTACATCAGGTTGGTGAATGCCATCAAATGGTCTTCTGGGTTAGTAGTGCCGTCATAGGCGCCTACTAACACATTTTTCACTTTTGCCGGCTGAGCGGCTTCAGTAATTTCCTTGGAGAAGGCCGACGGCTGTTCCCCAAGTCTAAGCAACCGTAGCTGCCAGTCCATAGGTTGGACATTTTTTGCCGCCTGTCCTCCAAACAGAGGTGGCTGCAGAAAATATTGTTGCGGTACAAATGGTAAGTTTGGCACCGCCTGGTCACTTTGAAAATCAGACCGACGGGAGGTACCGCCTGTCTGACTCTCATGATTTGACTGAGCATACCTCATAGAGGTATTGCGCAGACTATCCTGAAAATCTAAAGTAGAGGCCGACTCTGACAGTCGGTCGTTCCTCTTCTGCTCTAGCAATAGCCGAGCATCTGTATATGTTTTCTTCGGCCCATCCGCCTGAATATGACGAATGGGTTTCCTCTTTCCTGGAGTAGGAAAGCGGTACTTTTTGAAATCAAGGACAGGAGGCTCCCACTTCCTAGAGTTAGGATAAGGGGTCGCCTCTCGCCCTCGAACAGGCTTCCTCTTTCCTGAAGAGGAAGGTTTCTTAGCCGACTGCTCCTTGGCCGGAACAGGTGTCTTTTTATTGATCAGCTCCTGAATCTCTCCCTTGAAGCCCCTCATGAAGGTCATGAGTTCGTTCCCTGTAATGGGATCAGACCCATTAGTCGGCTGCTGCTGAGCAGGCGGTGCGCCGACTGGATCATTGTGTCCAGTTTGAGGATCTTCCCGTTCTCTCCTTTCGGTATGACGGGTGCCCCGGGCCCCTAGGGTCCCGTCTGAAGCTGTATGAGCTTCAACTTCAAACTCTTCTTCAGTATCATGGTCCGACTGAACTTGAGGGTCGTCCAGGGGACGCCTCTCTTCAGGAGTCGGTACAGACGTGGATGCCATCTCAAAAGTACTCTCCCCACAGACGGCGCAAAAATGTTTCGGGGTTTTCTGATGTCCTGCGGGAGAGTTACAATTCCGAGACTGGAACCGGACGCCTGTACCTGCAAAACAAACGGACTCTCCGGGTGGTTTGGAGGTCCGCCTCCAACAGTCAAGTTAGTACTTGTTTACGGAGTAATTAATGCGGAATATTGTAATTGAGTTTCTCTAGGTGAGAGTGTTTAATGTGCGTAATCCCCTTTAATGAGGACTAATGAAGGTATTTATAACCTTGGGAAGCGTGCCACTCTCTAGGTTTAGGTTAAACCTAGGGCTGACTGGGCCTCCCACCAAGATTGGGCCTTGTTGGCTGATTTACCTATTTGGCATGGATGGACACGTCTCGCGTCGCAATTTGTCCATGGAGGACATATCTCTGGTTGACACGTGGCAGGCTCCCATTGGCCTACGTGAAGGACACGTGGCGGAACTTGGTTGGTCCACGTGTCAGATGGTGATTGGTGGATAAAAATCCCCTAATCACTAAGGTTTGATGGTTATTGTGGTAAGGGTCTTAGCGGCGGGTTAGTAGTGTTTTGGTTTTCCCTGCTTCGAGTAGTACCTATCTCGGTTTCCCCAAATGTTATTTTGTGTGAAGTTTGTACTCTAAATGATGAAATAAAATATATAATGTTTGTGTATGGATCACCTGATTTATCGGGTCGCTCTTCTGTTTGGGCTGAATTTACTCATCTTTTACAAACCTATCACAAAGTGCTTCTAATTGGGGATTTCAATCAAGTTGAATACAACACAGACAAAGTTGGGGGTTCAGCAAAAATTACGGGACAAACACAGTTCCAGGAATGGAAAATTGATAGTGGCTTGTTACATATCCCTTTTACTAGACCTACTTTTACCTTGACTAATGGTCATAATAATAGAGATCCTACCTTTTAACGATTAGATAAAGCTTTTGGAACACATTACTAGTTGCTCGATCATCCGGAAGCCTCTCTTCTTCACCAGCCTATTCTGTTTTTGGATCATGCAGCTATAATTCTTCAGGATAAACCTGAATTCACTCCTCATCGGCCATACAGAATTGAAAACTGGTGTCTTCTTTCAAAAGAGGTGGCGAACATCATTTCTTTATCTTGGTCCCTGGAAGTTTCAGGTTCTCCTATGTATACTATTTCTAGAAAGCTGGAGATTTTGCGTAGTAAGCTGCTTAAATGGTGTGTCAATCACAAGAATCTCTGGGGCATCAACTGGAAGGAGTTGCATACTTCTATTTCCCCCCTAGCTCGAAATTTGAATTCCAAACTTCATCGACATCTGTTCCTCTCTTTTCGGGACGAGAAGATTGCTTAATCTCAGGCTGCTTTTTTGTATTGGAAGCAACGGGCTAAGATTAAATGGGATGCCTTGGGAGATTGTCACTCTCATCTTCTCTTCTCCTATGTCCAGGCCTGTCGCCGTAAAGATAAAATTCAGGGTCTTTTAGATTCAAATGGCAGTTGGGTGGTTCATGACCATGACGGTGTTCGTAAAATCATTCTTGATTATTTCTCGCATCTGTTTTGTTCTCCATATGAGCACATTAACCTGCTTGATTTTGACTGGGCTACTATGAACCTTCCTCACCTCTCGCCTTCTGGTAAGGTTGACCTTATGATTCCTATATCTGCTGCTGAAATCAAGCAAGTTATGTTCAACATTAATGACTCTAAAACCCCTGGTCTTGAAGGATTCACTTCTGCGTTCTTTAAATCTCATTGGACTACTGTCGGCCCTTCAGTTATTTCTACTGTGCAATATTTCTTCCTCCATGGTCACATGCTTCGTGAACGGAATCGTACCTTCATTGTTCTCCTCCCCAAGGTGGATCATCCACAACAGCCTTCTCAGTTTCGCCCAATAGGTTTATGCAATGTCCTTTACAAATGCATTGCCAAATGCATTGCTTTTAGACTTCGAAAAGTTCTGCCTTCCCTAGTGTCGGATTCCCAGAATGCTTTTGTACCAGGGAGACTTATGTCTGATAATAGCCTTACCGATCATGAGTTTTTTTCTTATATGAATCGATCCCGGGGTCGTACTATGTCTACTGCTCTGAAACTGGATATGAACAAAGCCTATGACAGGGTCAACTGGAAGTTTCTGTGGCAGGTTCTTCGGGTTTTTGGCTTCCCTCCGTATTGGATTCACATCATTCAGCAGTGTGTTTCTATAGTTTCCTATCAAATCCTCGTTAATGGAAATCTTACAAAGATCTTCCGACCTGCGCACAGGCTTCCTCAAGGGGATCCTTTATCTCATATTTATTTGTCCTCTACATAGAGTTTTTTTTTGCTATGATCCGCAGGGCTGAAAGAGATCATATTTTTCGAGGCATTACAATCTCTAGACATGCTCCTTCGATCTCACATCTGTTTTTTGCTGATGATTCCCTTCTTTTCTTTTAGCCTTCTCCTACGGCTTGTAATGAAGTTCTGCAGGTGGTCCAATAGTTTTGTGCCCTCTCGGGGCAGATGGTAAATTTACAGAAGTCCTTTGTCCGGTTAAGCCCTAATATGCCTGATGACTATCGAGATTTTTTAGCTTCTACTCTGTAGCTAAAAGTGCAAGCATCCTTGGGTTCGTACTTAGGTCTTCCGGTGGATATTGGCAGAAGTAAACGTAAAGCTTTTCAACCCCTCATTGATACGATTGTTAATCGGTTGAGCGGCTTTGCCTCCCTTCATCTTTTTGCTGCAGCTAAGTTGGTAATTATTAGCTCCGTTTTGGTTACTTCTCTTAATCATGTTTTATCGGTGTTTAAGATTCCTTCCTCAGTCACTGATGCCATTAACAATCTTTTGATCCGTTTCTGGTGGAAGACTAATCCTCACTCTAAAGGTCTTGCTATGGCCCCTTCCTCCCTTCTCTTTCGACCTAAAGGTTTTGGGGGATTAGGACTTTGACACCTGGGTTTTTTCTAACTCAGCCTTGTTAGCTAAGCAATCTTGGCGTATTATACAGAATCCTTAACTGCTCATTTCTCGGGTTATCCATTCCAAATATCCTTCACTTCTGAATCTTCGCGCTTAAGACCGTATTTCTAGACCTTCCTGGGGTTGTAGAAGCTTAATGGAGGGTTTTAGGTCCCTGTTGATGGGTCTTAGCTGGAAGATAGGAAATGGTTCTCAGGTTCGTATTCTTCAGGATTCTTGGGTGCTAGGGACATCTATGCAGTTCAAGGACTCTTTAGCTGGATCGGTTCACCCGACTCTAGTGTCTTCTCTTCTGGATCCATGCACTAACGCATGGACCCTTCTTTGGTTCATGGTTTATTTCCTCCTCTACTTATGGATGATTTTTTTTACTGGAAATTCACTCAAGATGGGGTTTTTTCTTCAAATTTGGCATATGCGAATCTGATCCGCCACTCGGATTTTTTTCCTCAAGATGCATCCTTGGTCTTTCCGTTAGGGTGGAACAAACTGTGGGCTTTAACTGTTCTCCCCAGATGGAAACTCTTTGTTTGGAGGTTGTTTCATGATGCACTTTTAGTGGCGCTTAAATTACGCAACAAGGGTGTCACTATAGACCCTAATTGCTCCTTTTGTCACCTTTGCTCTAAGTCGACTGATCATCTCTTCCTTCAGTGCTCGTTTACTCGGCGTCTCTGGATTTTTGGTCCCTTGGGTGTTCGGATTCCTACGACTGATCTTTCTTTTTCACAGTGGTTCACTTCCTTAATTTCTTCTATCATCACACTTGGGGATTAGTCGGCCTTGAACTCTATTTTTTCTTTCACTTGGGCCATTTAGGTCCTCAGAAATAACATTCGGTTTCGGGGAGCTCACTGGTCTCCTGCAGCTGTGTTTCAAATTGCTCAGGACTGGTTCCTTCGTAGTTCTACACCTAGGGACGATACCCTGGAAGATGTTGCCCCTCCCCTTGGTTTTGGTCCTCAAGTGTTCTCTCTTTCCCTTCATCGTTGTGGTAATGTGCAGCCGTCAGTAGATCTCATTGTGGATGGAGCTTGGGACTCCAAGGATTGCAGGGCGAGTACTGGTTGGTGCTTTTACTCTTTAGATACTGATATCTGCTTAGGAGGTGGAGCTCAAGCTTGCTTTGCCCTGTCGGCTTTTCAGGCAGAGTTACTTGTCTGTCTCTTTGCTTTACGGATGGCACATCAACGTGGTTTCACCCATCTGCAAGTTCGTACAGACTGTATGGCCACCCTTTCTAGTCTGCGAAATGACAGTTCCAATGACATCTCTGTTGTTTGGATCCTGCAACAGCTAAAGGACATCCTTCCAACTTTTACTGTTTGTCTTCTTTAGAAGGTTGCTCGATAGGCAGTTATCCTGCTCATCATCTTGCTACTTCAGCTAGGAAACGTCGGCTACTTCGTTACTCTTTCTAGGGGTTTTTTTTGGTTTTTTCAGCTTTTCTTTCTGAGTGAACTTTTGTCAAAAAAAAATATAATAAATAAAATAAAAAAAATTCCCATTAGTTTACATTATATTTGACATTATATTTGGTATTATGGAAATCAAATAGAATTGACAAAGAGATTGACCTTAAGAACCACCCCTTAAAAAAGGTTCACTTTGGAAATTAAAAAACTTATCTACCCACTATATGAATTACCCATGTAATTGATGTGCTAATAATTATAATTAACAAATTGTGAAATTTACTTGCATTCATTTTGCAACCCAATTCGACCACACTAATAATTATTTATTTATCTTATGTAAATATGCTATATTGCTATTAACACGTTTGTAGATTATGCCATATGCAACGGGTCGTTCTAAACTTTCGTTGTCTACTCAATATTACTTGACAAAACCAACCAGCTAATTAGAATTTTGCCAACAAATTGAATATTTCTTATTGAAAAATTGAATCGGTGGTATATTTGTAGTACACAATCAAAATTCTAGCAAGTATTTAATGAGGTTTGACATTTTGTACTTGTGCGCGTTTGTATATGAACCAATTCAACATTCTCATGCGTTCTAGCAATTCCAAGTACTTTCTATTGACATGACTATTGTTAAACCATTTTAATATGAAAACTTGATTATATGATCTTAACTATGTGCAAATTAACGTCAAAGAGCCAAAAGGTGTAGTACTCGTCGTATTAACCAAGTGCAATAAAATTAAGTCAATTTCATGAATAGTGTGATAAACTAATAATATGAAGTAGATCATATCATCAGCACATGCATGCAAATTGGACAAATAAAAGTCAAGTTTATCTCTATGAAATAACACCGATTTCTTATAAATCAACCATCAATCACAAAAAAAATTTAATCATAACACGGTAGTGGTTTTTTTTTTTTAGGAAAAATAAAAATAAAATAATATGTGTAGTTTGAATATGACTACGAAGTAGCTCTCAAGGTAAACAAGTTTTAAATCCACTATATAGAAGATTTATTTTTCATTATCTTGCTATTCTTGGTTGATTCGTTTCGATGAGTACTTTGAAATCTAAATTTAATAATTTTCATTAATATGTAATACTTATAGATATTAACAATTTAGAATAATGTGTATTTTTGACAAACGTGTAAAAGGAAAATGAGAAGAACTATTAACTTATTGTGAGAAACAAATTGCTATTAGATGTAAATAATTTCGGTCAAATCAGATTAATTTCAGCTCAAGTCTAGTTTTAGGTGTGGTTCAAGTTTGCTCAGGTCAATTCAAGATAGGTTGTATTTCCATGTATACCCATCATAACCCTTGCATGTTTGACCCCTAGCTTGAACTCAATGATTTTTGTTTACATGATTATTATCCATGATGTAAGTTTGTAATACATGCAAAAAAACATTAAGCAATAGATCAACAAATTGAAAAAAATACACATATTTAACGTGATTCATTAACACGTCCACTATATCAATGTATGAGAGGACGTTTGTAGATCAGGCAGAAAATTAATTACATAATTAAGCTAATTTAAGGAGCAACGTACGAGACACCCATGGTAGGTCACTTATATAGTGAAAGATTGATTCAAAGCCCTATTCAAAACAATTCGATCAGTTAGTTAAATGCTAATCATGATCTTAAACTTTCTTAAGCGAATTGAGGAGAGTAGTTAGGGGTATAATTGTCCGATGCCACCTTCTAGACTCTTCTCTTGCTCCTTTGCAAAGTGTATATATTCTATTACAGTTAGTTTAAGCACATAATTTACGGTTGTATATCTTATCTTTAATTGGTTGCAAATAGGGTCAACTTGTTAGTTTACCAACTTCGAAAGATTGAATTATTATAACTTGAAAATATCTCAACATGCTAATTATAATAAAATGATAATATGGAGGCAAGCTTGAAAACCAAAAGTATAACATTCATGCATGCAGACTATCAAACGTGATCTTTTGTTGTTCGACTCTAGGAATTTTTATGATCTTGTCGGATCCTCTTGGGAATCTTAAGATCAATTCCATCTTTGTTCAGTGGATTAAGCAAACACGTGGTAATTCTCCGTCAACTCGAATAGGTGTATTTATATGCTAATAGCACTGTAAATATGTAATTTTTTTTTTTATTTTTACATATTAAACTTGATCTTATATAACTACATATTAACTACGAGTTTGGATCGCACCCGCAACTAAAAGATAGAGAGTCCACTTCATAATGTGGAACACTTACATATTTAAAAGCCTACACATTTTGCTTATAACTACTCCGTATATGTTAAAACTATATGGCAATAGAACGAAAGAGTAATCCCTTAATTAGCCTATAAAGTATTTAACTCTCTCTTCTTTTCTCAATGTGGGACAGTTACATATTTTACTTAATTTGAAAGCCTACTTCGACACTATATATGTGCCATGTTAAATGATTCTCATTAAAAAGGAGGGGGAAAAAAAACAAAAAAACAAAAAAACAAAAAAAAAACAAAAAGAAAAATTGGCGGCGCTAACACACCTCACAAAGTAGTAGCCTACAATCTTACATTAATAAATTATCCTTTCAAGGTCCATTTCAATTAAGACCTTAGTAAGATGAAGGAGACAAGTAAGACCCTCTTCTTTTTAGAAGCTGAAATCTGTTCTCCTCTGTTCTGCTGATTCAATCTGCTCTGCTCTGCTGAAATATGCTCTTTTTTACAAAAATCTGCTCTACTCTACTCTGCTTGCCTAAATGCTCAAAAAGACAGGGCTTAAGAGTACAGTACATGCACACCCCTACAAAGCCCCTATTGAAATAAGTCCCATCTTGATACTTCATCGCATTGCTAGTGTTAAGTCTAAGCAAGTTCCTCAAAAGAAATTAAAATTTATTACGTTGTATTATCAACTAGATTTATAATTCATAAATTCTTCTAATTATAATTTAGGCATTTATATCATTTGACTGTTGGTGCAGTGGTGATTAGGGTTGCACTTGGTAGGAAGGACTGCGTATTCGATCCCCCACAACAATAATTGGGAGGGGACTGAAACTTAACCATTCGGAATTGAGCCTCGAATTTGGATTAACCCAAAGGGTGAACCGGCTGAAACAACAAAAAAATTTAGGTGTTTATAATTTTTGTAAGTGAATAATACTTTGTATAGTATTAGATAGGTTACACAAACTCTTATAAAAATCGGGTGTACTATAAGTATTGTACATCCGTCGTAAAGTTAACTTAAAATTATCAAAAGTTACACATAAACTTAATAAAAGTTATCCCACTAAAAATAAAAGTTACATGTACTTTATTTATTAATAAAGTTACGATTTTTAACTGACTATTAATCAAATCTCAGTGATTGAAATTAAAGTAATTATACCGCCCTTGTAAATCTTATCTTGTTGTCTATTTACATTAAAATCGTATGAGGTTTTAAGTTATCATAATTAAGGCTTAAAGTTACCCTAAATTGGTTAAAAGTCACCATGATGTTGTTCGATACATGCACACTAATATAATTGTAAACCAGAT